AATCTTGAACGGTTTAAGAGCTCTGGTCCGGAAAATGCCAATCTGTAATTTGGCCTATCTGTTTCCATGGTAACAGAAAAAGTATTTAAATGGAGAACTTCTCCATAGCAAAAGGCAATGCTAGAGTACAAGATTGATAACTGTACAAGGGTTTGAGTAGTTATCTTGAACGGTTTCAGAGCTCTGGTCCGGAAAAAACCCATGCACGGACGAACGCACGCAGGCACGCACGAACGGACAAACAGACGGACGGACGGAGCCCAATTTAATATTCCCCGCAAACGCGTTTCGCGGGGGATAAAAAAAGTATCCAAAATGAAAACTTCTCCAGTCACAAAATGCACCAAGAGAGTGCTAGCTTGTACAAAGTGTACAAAGTTTCAGGTAGTTCTTGAACAATTTTGTTGCCATGCTCTGGAAACCGTGAAATTTGTAAGATTTACATTTTACTCCGGAAACAGCAAAGTTGTAGTTTTGCCTATCTGTTTCCATGGTAAACCAAAACAATTATACAAAATGAGAATTCTCCCATAGCAAAAGACACTTCCAGAATGCTTGATAGTTGTACAAAGTTTCAGGTAGCTATCTTGAACGGTTTTAGAGTCATGATCCATACACCTGAAATTTGTAAATTGGCCTATCGGTTTCCATGGTAACAAAACAGTATTTGAATGGAGAACTTTTCCATAACAGAAGGCACTACTTAAGTACTAGCTTGATAACTGTACAAACTTTTGAGTAGTTATCTTGAACGGTTTCAGAGCCCTGGTCCGGAAAATACCAATTTGTAATTTGGCCTATCTGTTTCCATGGTAACAGAAAAAGTATAAAATAAGCAGCATACAGCTAAGTTTTTACGGTCCTATTACACAGCGTGCGTGTCCTGATTACTATTGTCATGAGAGCTATAATCACGCTTTCGATATGGGATACACGTCACCCTTGACTGATCGCACTGTTGAGTGCTGTATAATACAATTTACAGTCAAAGTTCGTTATTCATGAAAGCACATTAAAATATGAAGTCGAATAGACGAATTGACGGAGCTCAGCATAATGAGTCCCACCATATCAAGCTACGCTTGGTCCAATCAAATAACTGTAAAACGCATTACATGTGAATGTTTTCCACTCAGAAACAATTAGAGTGTTCCCATCAGACTGTTTAAGTAATCAGACAGGATTGGTTAACATACAAAGCATGACATTGGTCTCACAAAAAAATCTCTTTTGTCTATTAGTAAAACAGTATTGAAAGGAATGAGACAACAAAGAATGATAAAATGATATAAAAAATGTATGTTTTAAATATTTATGATGGTATAGTTGTAAAACGTACCTCTTCAAGCATGTTCTTCAAGATAGGCTAATGCACATCAAGATATATGGTTAAGGGAACTGTGTTGTATACTATCATAAATGTATAAAAGATGCATTTAAAACCTTAATTAAAAGGTGAGATTGTATTACTATAATATTCTATCACTATATGTCCAACGATATTAGAAAGTTGTATAATAGCATGAAATGAAAGACATAGGTAGGCCATAACATCCATATTGCACGGGCTCATTGTTTAAAATGGATGTAACCGATTTGTGTTCATACCGGCATGAACATTTAAAAAACGCCGTTCAATACATATATTTACTATAGAACAATAGTCTAATTTTATTTATTTGTTAAATAATCTATTTATTTACTGCGTTTTGTATATGCGTCGTCCTTTAAACAACATTTGCTGAACAGCCCTATTTAAGTTAAAATGGCACCAATATTAAACTGTAGTCATTTGAGAATTTGACGCACGGGCATTCTTCATGTTATCCGAAGCGAAGCGACAAGACTCATTGAAGAAGGTAAAGCTATGACATCATAAGTAAATCACTTGTTACGTCTCAACAGTTTTTGCTTTCATTTAGGCATTGAACTGCTTTCAGTTTGCATTCATAGGCAATATGAATGCCAACTGGACAAAGGCAAATGCAATGAAGCGCGATAGCGCTTCATGTCGGATTTGCCTTTGTACAATTGGAATTCATACTGCCTATGAATGCCAACTTAAAGCGGTTAAATACTTATATTTACCATTTTTCGAATCTGCTAAATCATAGAAAAATCCATTACACTTATTACTTTTTAGCATTTAGTCCAAATAATGTATGTATCGTGTATGCTTGTTCAATGAACAGAACAGCTATCGTCCAGGGAGGATCAGTGGTATCCAACATAACAATTATGACTTCATTATAATGATGACGTCAACAATCCGTCCATGGCATTCATAGCCTATGAATGCCAACTGAATTCGGTAGGGTTATAAAGTGGCAATGACATACGATGGTAAATATACTCAAATTAATAGCATTTCTGCTGGTAATATTCATAAAGTGTGTTGCAACGCAAATGTAAATACATGTGTTTGTTTTAACTAATTTCCACTGTATTCCACGTGTTTCTATTTCTTTTTTTCAATGAATTAGTCTCATTTCCTTGTCAATCCATACAAATCAATTTCTAAATTAGCATTATGACAAATATCTAAAAGTTATTTTGACTTTATTTGCATCACGTTTGGTTAACTACTTCCAATAATCAAAGGTCAACAAAATGATTTTAGAAAAAAGTGACCATTCCATGATTACCCATGACCCAGAAATTTAAAAATATGATTATTTATCAAAAATTTGCAATGCATATTATTTTCTAATGTTATGATTTCTATTTCAGATAAATAAGAAATAAACACACAATTTAAACAGGGAGTATAGAATTTAGTGTAAGATAAATTTTCTTTAAACTTCATGGATGTTTTACTGAATTTATAAAATCCGGATTTCTGTTTTCCGGTTCCAGCTTTTATTACCGCCTAGGTAACGACGGGTTGTGCAGTGTTGGATTGATGCGCGATTTATAGCATTATCGTGTTATCTAATGATTAATTTAATAAATAAATGACATTGGAATACTCAGCAGTTTTATGGGTAAGTCCTTCGTGCTGTAAGTTAGGCCTATCATATCACATTCTTATTCGGCAGTAAACAGTCCTTAAGGTAGGCCTATTTCATACAGCGTCAGTGTATATTGTTTTATAAAGGGCTCATAACTTTCCTCAAAATAAATAAAGTATGGAAGTTGCTTTGCATGCTCATGTCATGAACAATGTCAAAAATTTGCAGAAATTATTTGTTGAAAATATTGTTGGTTTTGTCTGAAAAGTTACTTTTGATTGCGGAATTGAATAGCGCAAAATCGCAATGAATAATGAAATTAATGGAAAAATGTAGCTGTACATGCATTTCTGAAGTATCCAAGCAGTGAATATTGTCAAGAAAAAATTAAGAAAATGTGTCAAATCTCCAGAATAATGGCATATATTTCCCCTGAATAATCACAACTGAGCACAAAGCGAACAAGTCTGACTGAGGTTGGATGATACTGGCAATGTGCAAAATTGATTTTTACGTGCAAATAATCACAGATTGCCTTCATATCCATGATCATAACAAAAACATAGTTTATCAATCATATCAAGGTCCTTTTCATTTCAAACCTCCCAAAAACCTATCATTTTTGGTCCTGGCAGGGTAGGTCTGATTCTACATATAAATCCTGTCGGAAAGAAGGGCATGGAATATTTGGTAAGAATTTTACAGCCGTTAAAACTGTATGCACTGTACGTGTTCTATTTATCCCGGTGAGTGTCGATTGTCATCTCAACTAGGTCTTGAAAAAACGCACTAACTCTCCTCAAAACACCGATTACAACAGTTAATATTGTGCAACAGGCTGTTTTTCAAAACGTCTGTTTAACCCGGACGCCAACAACATTTTCGCGCTCTTTTACAAATCGGATTTGTGTATTGACAGCGTTTACCAACTTCAAGTCACCTCATGATCAGTTATCAGCACGTCATATCGCAAGTGTTTGAAATACACATATGCTATACTGACATGGATCACAGCACCCACAGTGTATGTAAATGTGTGCTGTGATCCATATTACTTCTAAGAATGTTTTGGCGAGTAAAAGTGCTGCTATTAGCCAAGATCTGATGAATTGAGACGGTGATCCATACTGTCCGATGAAGGATATAATACAGCTTTCATCATCAGTGGAATACTGCCCACTTGTATGGTGTAACACTTAAGAGGCATGGTAGTGTAGTGGTAATGGACGCCGGGCGCGTGACCGAAGGGTTGTAATTCTAACACAATTACAGGTGCTGTCAATGAGGGATACATTTTCATTAGGGCAGGGTCATTTTCATCAAGGGGAATATGCATATCTTATAAGAGAAAGATCCCTCGGAGTACTTTCTGAGAAATGGAGCTAACAAAACTGTTAAAATCCAAAAATGGCCACCTGTTGGTCAGTCATGTTGTTTTTCAAACAGTCTCAAAAGTAAACATGCCCAACTAAAGACGAATAATAATCTACAAGTCCAATTTGAGAAAGATACCTTCAGTCCTTTCTGAGAAATAGCAATAAATATTCAGAGCAGTCAAAACCTAAGATGGCAATTGGACATTGGACAGCCACTAATTGTATTTATCCCATCAGTCTCAAGATTAAACATGCACAACTACAGACCCAAGGGAACTTACATATTAAATTTGATAAAGATCCCTAAAGTTCTTTCTGAGAAATAGCTAAAACAAACACTAGAAGCGTACCAAAATTAACAAGAAATATTGTTATGTTTACGGAGCCCCAGGGCCCAGATAATATGTAAATCATCTATTTGTTTACGGCACGTAAGAAAATACGATTTAATTCCATTTTTGGTTTTTTATCGTTTGCATTGTTCACACCGTATTTCAGGAAATTTTAGACTTTCCCTATGTAAAAAGAGAGAGAAAAAAGAGCGGAGGTGGCACGATAACTTTGTGTACATAAATACATCAAAGCGATAGTTTGAAATATTGTCCAACATGTGAGATTGAAACTAAACTCCAAATATTACATAATATCATAAAAAGAGATAAAAACTTCTTACCTTACGTTTGGCTGGACGCTGACATGAAATTAAAGTAATAGGAATCCATAATCCAGAAGGTAAATCCATAAGGTAAATCCATAAAGAAAACGCTAATTTTTGAGACTACATCATTGGACGATTTAATTGCAAACAAGTATCACAATTCGTTTTTTCATTGAGTAGTCTCTACTCGGCTTCCGTAAACCGAATTCAAATCATCCGACTTCAAACGTATTAGCACCATATTCAAGAAACATTTGCAAAGCTATTTCACCAAAATATGACACGATTTAAAGTTCCGACTTAACTGACAGGACACATCATGAGCGTTTCTGTAAAGAAAGAAAAAAAACATTGGATTCAAAAACACATATAGATACAATACATAAATGTTGTTTTCATACAGTTTTTCGATTCATATTTCACACTTTGTAAATCATCTGAATTAGTTTACCTTTGTAATGTTTATATTTGAGTATGCCATGCAACATTTTTATTGAAGTAATTTTTTTTTCAAAATAAATAATAACATTGGGCGTTAAGGAAAAGTAAACGTGACCACTATTGGCTAATGAATATCTTCAAATAGGTCAGAAAAGTATTACAATTATACATGATACAGAACAACGGCGTTTCCCGGTAGTATTATCAAAACCATTAAGTAATCAAATATTCTTGGAATAAAAGCCTCCCATTCTGCGAAGTTGATATATCTCTGGTGGTCCATGCCCCAAATTTAGATAAGGAAACTGAACAATAACATTTAACCACCGTTTGAAAAATCGCTTCAATCAGTTTAAAAGCCTAAAGGAGCTTAAAACTTCATACTGTCACAAGAAATGTTAAGAAGGTGCGCTGGTGCGCAATGGGTCTTCCATTGTTCTGCGAGAATCTCTTATTTGCTCATCAACTAAATTATCATACAACTTATAGAATTACAAGTTAATCAAAACCAGAACCCAAAACGATCCAAGGTACATACACTAACATGTACTGGTTTGATAGTAGCCTAATATTGTTTATACATATGTATGGATATGTTTATTTTCGGTATGCAAGGACCATTTTTTTACGGCGGTACATGATTAAAGGTTTGTTTAGGAATCTCCACTGATATATAGGTGTACAGTCAATGCATACATGTGTTTGTGCTGCATGTAAAGGACTAATAAATGTATGTATAGGATAGTTTGCACAAGTAGGTAGGAGTACAGTAAACAGCAAAATATGTTGTAAGTGTGTTAAGGGTAGTACATGATAAACTTTATATTTGTGTATAGTCATTCGTTCTTTTGTATATGTGTACAGTTAATTGTACATATATTTATATATAATGAAAGAATAGGGAAAAGCAGGGTAAACAATTAAGGTAATATAATGTTATGTATTTGAATGTTACTGTAAATACAATGTTTTTTTATAAGTATAAACAGGGCGTCTTTAATAAACAAATCACAAACCTTCATTAGATTATGACCGATACGTCATGAGTAATTTGACAGAACCCCCTATCCAATATTGCAACATGAAATCGCCCGACTCAGTATATCTCGTATGCCCCCAAGCGCATCTGCCACAGCCCTGATTATCTTGTGCATAGAGTCCATCAGTGCCTTTCTAACAGGGGTATTGTCTACTCTTCCAACAAGGCAGCCCTTAATTGGTTCGTCGAGAGTAGCGGGGGCATTCCGACGCCCCCTTATCCTCATGTCAAGTTAGTCCCATAAATGTTCGATTGAGGACAAATGTGGACTGTACGGCTGCTAGCTAAGTTTGTTAATGTTGTGGTTTGCGAGAAAGTCTTGACACACTTTATCATGCTGGAAACGTAGGTGATGCTGTTGCAAAAATAGAACTGCAACCGGGCAGAGGATTTCATCCCTTTATCTTACGGCTGTTAAATCCCCGGCTACCACAATCAATGGTGACTTTAGAAATCCACCCAAAAACCATAACCGAACCACCCCGAAACCTATCCCTCTCAAGAAGGCAAGCGTCGGTGAAACGTTCCCTATGACGTTGGTATACACGACATCGACCGTAAAAACAAAAAAAAGAGTAAACGAAGCAATACGACGCGCGCGACGTGTATGAGTGAGAGGCAGACCAACGTAAGGACGACGAGCTCGCAGACCAACCTCGCGCAATCAGTTCCTTACATGTTTTGGGTGAATGTGGTGATTGCTTGCTTACCGTACAAATAGGTGATTAAGGCAAATATCACTGTCTTGGACGTCGCGTCGTTACGCGCAGACGTCCCGATCGCGATCGGTCGTACACCCTTCCGTTGTCTCACAGACAAGACGTTCTATGATGGAAACATTCACACCGAACTGCAAAGCAATATTTTGTTGCCTTTGACATTACATTAATAATGCAATTATTTCAGTATATATATATATGTGTAGGGCCATTTGTACTAGTAGGTAGGCGTAGAATAAACATACCATCTAGTCGGTATGGTGGTACACGGTTAAATATATCTACATGGATGTTTACGGTCATTTGTACTGATACATTCAGTGAGATCATCTTGAGCGAGTTTTTAATAACGCCAATTGGCAAAAGTTAGTTAATCATTTGAAGATCGTTAATAACTGACTGACATTCATACCAGATAAACACTTAAGTTGTTCTTTCTACGGTGTTTCCATTTTTAAAAGTATCATCGACAAAACTTAATTCCTGCATCCGCCTGGTTTGGGTACATTTGGGATACGTGTAGTGGTAAGTAGGCGTTCAGTATTACTGTCAGTACGGGGGATACAGGCCTCGTAATATTCATGAGTAGGAGCGTTTGTAGCATTAACGTTAACTTTTGTTATTCGTGAAAAGACAAGTATAGCAGATATGTTTGTTTTTAGCTAGAAAGCTTAAATTATTATTGGGGGAAAACACGAGATATAGTAAAATCAGGGAGTTTTCGGGACGATACCCTAAACGTGAATAAGAATACCTTACAAGGCCCTTGGTCTTATTTTGAAAAATCACCCGCGAAAACGGTAAAATGTTCATAAAAACATGCTTTTAATGATAAGGCCGTTCTTTAATATATTCATAGTTCATGTCATACACCTAGATATGTGGGATTTCAAACGTTTCGTAATAAGAGGAATCCAGAACACTTTAGCGTCCTACTCACGGATTGGTCTGTTAAATCGTCCTTTTAAAAGATCTATTAGAGTACATGACTATATAGAGTAGGCGGTGGCTAGAAAGGGTATATTGGTACAAAGGTAAAACCTTCGTATCTTTCTTCATAATGTCGGAAATGTTTCTTAGTGTAAACACACGCTGTCGCGCCAAATGGTTGTTATTACATAAAGGAAGTATTGCGATAGATACTGCACAATCATTTGACAAGAAATTCAACAAAACAGCTCACGGTACCTACAATTTTCTTAAAACCACCTGATATATTGGTGTCTTTATAAATATCCTTTTTACGATGACTCATCGTTTTCTTTATGAAGACTCAAAACATATGATCGTTGACCAATCAAATTCTTCCCCAGTGGACTGTCTTTTAATGAAGTTATGACAAATCACATGATACCATAATAACAGGACAATGGTGACGGCAAGGTCTAACCACGGCGTTCTTACGCATAGGTATACAGTTTTCTATTGGTATGGTACGTTGTAGTGGTAATTACAGGCGTATACGGCATATATCCAGGACCTCCAATGCTGTGTGTTGGGATGGGGTGAGGACGCTCTTACGGGGACAATTCTTTTATGATCAGATCATATGATAAACATTTCAAAACAGTCTACGGTACGGTACACATAGTTATGTCAAAATCACATGATTTAAATATCCTGCTTGTTTATTCTTTCAGGGTTATAACGAAAGACAATGGTAGAATCACAAAGAACCGAAAAAGTAGTAGCCGACCCGATATATTATAGAAATGACGCAATTGGTAGTAGGTGTTTGTATGTTTTAAACATGTGTACTTGATTGTGGGGAACATAAGACAACACCTAAGTGATTTTACCTTCACAATTTGAAAATTTCAGTCAAAATAAAATCACAAGCACCATACAACTGTTTCGTCCTCCTTAGATTAATCAGTGATGCTAGAGGCCAAAAAGGTTACAATGCAAATTGGTCAAAACTAATCAATTTGAGAATTCAAAAGGGTACTGGTTGATTTTAAATTAATGCGAAAAATGTATACACTATGTACCGTGCTACTATTCAAAAGAGATAACTGTGGCCATCAATGTTATGGCAAACTTTGGGGATTACAGTAGTCCACCAGCAGAGTATATCGCCTTGAAAAGAGGAACGCAATATGTATTGGATCTATGAAATTTGATAATAATTATATACGGCATACCGAAAATGAATTATGCTGAAACATATTGTTGTCCTGCCTGTATGTGTACATGATTAAGAGTAATTTGTATTATTATACCTCTACTTATTTTACACTATACAAAAGTAACCACATTAACAAGCTATTTCCCCTTTAACTGCANAATAATTATATACGGCATACCGAAAATGAATTATGCTGAAACATATTGTTGTCCTGCCTGTATGTGTACATGATTAAGAGTAATTTGTATTATTATACCTCTACTTATTTTACACTATACAAAAGTAACCACATTAACAAGCTATTTCCCCTTTAACTGCATGCCAGGGAAATAGTTCGTCTGGAGGGGTGCGATAGTTTTGAAACTATTTCCCTCGGAAAATACGGGAAATTGAGTGACGTCGTGGGCGGGGCGTTACCGAATATTGACCAATCAGCGCAATCGAATTACGTCGGCAATTTCCGGCAAACAGTGATTTATTGTTTATTGTACATGTGATATCCTTTATTTCATGTTTTTGCAAATACTGATTTTTCTGATGTTGATTCTCAAGAAATTTTTAGTTTTGTTAATAAAGTGTCCCAACTGTTGAAAATTTGTTGTCTAATAATATTTAGAATATTGTAAGGGAGTGTTTGTATCGGTATAATAAAACAGTTGAAGTATGGGTATTTCGGGATATAGCAAATTTATGATCTCCATCGTCCAGGACTATTTCCCTCGGCTTCGCCTCGGGAAATAGTCCTGGCCTCGGGGGTTCATAAACTTGCTATATCCCTCATACCCATACTTTAACTGTTAACTGTAAGTACATATTATTTACATTAAAATGCATTATTACTGGCAATAAGACGTAAATTTGGTTAATCAGAAGACTTAAATTATATAAGTATTGGTTCCTTTGTACTGGTAGGAATGTACACAAAATATAATATACCAATATTTGTTTTCATTTTATTTATTTTTAATTCTGTTTTGCTTACTTTTTATATTGGACCCATCA